TCTGCTTCTCAATCCCAAGAATGGATCCTGCGCAGGGCAGAACGCCAGCTGGTACCAATAGGTCAGAATATTCTCCGGAATACCGCTATAACCCACCCACAGACCCCCAACCCGCACATCGTCAGCAGATTCGGAATTTTCGCACCCCCTGTCATTGTTTAATATGAGCTTCCCTTGCTATGATCACTCAATGGTTACACAGCGTGGTTTACTCGCCAATGGAACACCTATTTCGACCTCCTATTCATTCAATCCTCCGGAATGGCCGGAATACCCATTCCAGCCTCCTTATCTTCCAGTATCAACGCCTCGACGGGTAGATATGTCGTCTGCAGTGCCACACCTCCCTTATACCAGACTAGGGGCCATTGTTGCTAGCCAACCAGAGAGTAATAGGAAATGAGCGAAAGCGGTGAAATTTTTGACCGTCCATGTGCCGATATAAAACGCCCACCATTCTAATAATCAACTTGTTATCAATAGTGAAGCTTCACGATACGTTCGAGAACGCTGCCTCCAAATTCAATTATTCCATCTGCACAACACGGCGCTACCATGACTGCTTCCGTGCCATCTGGCTTCAGGCACCTACTACACCAGCCACCACCGCCACAACCAGCATCAGAAATAGACTCAAACATACGCTCGCGCCTCCGCTTATTTGTGCGGCAAGAACCCATTGCCGCTCGTGCCTGCGGGTTTGGAAATAAGTCCCGAAGACCTATTGATCCGCTCCCGGTCATCCAGCTTCTAATGATCGATTTCTCCCCCCATTCTGAGGAAGATATGAAGCAGCTCACAAACCCGCAACACGTTGTCGTCTGTCATCTATTTCCGGCCAGCCAACCGCATGGAGTGAATCCTGAACCGCAAATCCGGTCACAAAGCAATGCTGGGTGCTTTTTGGAACCAAGCGAGACTGGAGCCGTTAACAGTGACGGTGGTAGCAACCCGACAAATAGACAACGGGGCAAAATTCTGTCTGGCAGCACATGTGCGAGTCCATTCCTAGTCGGCGTAGATCCCGATCTGGCAAATGCACCCGAACACCCACGTTCAATGGCGAGCCGAGAGCAAAGTTCAGGTACTACTCTTATGCGCCCGCCACGAATTCTACCATCTTCAGACGCTCCACAGGATGTTCCTGCAACCTTCTTCATATTCTCCGATCTCTGCGTGCGTACCGCAGGCTGGTATCGGCTACGGTTTCGGCTAGTAGATGTCCAAGAAACTGAGAAATTGGGGATCTCCCCGTGCCTTCATGAGGTCTGGTCTCAATCTTTTCAGGTGTTCGCGGCGAAAGATTTTCCTGGGATGAGACCAACCCCTTATTTGGCAATAAGACTAAAGGATTTGGGAGCCATCGGCATTAAAATGCGGGAAAAGGAACGGGGGTCGCGGCAGAAAAGAACGGTACAGAGTACTAGCGAGGACAATATCGATCCTGTTTGTGGCTGACTGGTTTACTCGGCAAATTGTTACTTTCGGATCTGTAACAGCTTGAGTTTGGCCGAGAAACGTAATTCTCGCAGAAGTACAAACAGGCGGAGAACATAAGAGAAGAGAAGAAAATTGGTGACTATCAAGGATTTTTTTTTGTTCCTCCAACTCTTCGGGTATACTTTGTTTCCCTAGTTTTGCGCCAGCACAAAATATATGATTCTGTACATGTACATACATTCGCACATTTTTAAAAATGCCATGGAAAAGATGGCGCCTCTGAACAATGTCTATTATTTTAAGTTTTTTGGCAAGCTCCGGCATTGCTTTAGTTGTCCAGGGCGGACATCTGTCGCTTGTTTTCGACTCCGTTTGGCGCTCGTACAGTTGCCCAAAACCATACTCGGCGCAATGGAATTAAATTCCAATGGACAAACTATTTAGCACATCAAATGTAAGGAAAAAGAAATGGGTATGATAAGCGCATTTCTTTAGTCGAACTGTGCAAACTGTTTTGTAAAGATCTCTCTCTCTTTCTCAATGTTCAATTCAAAAGTTTTGCCAAGATATATATGTCGTATTTCCTTCGCCTTTGACGCGGATTTTTCGTCATTTTCTGCGATCTCTAAGTAGCGTAATCCTTTGTGAGCATTTCCTTCCTCACGTAAAAGACAGGACATGATGAGAGCTGATGGGCCCCAGCCACCGGTACTAGCAACTTCGAACCAATCCATGGCCAGTTGGCGAAGTTGGTCGTTCGTGTATTTCCGCGCAACGAGGTCTTTGGGAGAAGTATCCTTGTCCCCTGAAGGTTTGGGGGGTTTATCCCGCCTTTTCCCAGAATAGTGTAGCTCCAGGTAAAAACTTCCCAGGTCATGACATGCTTCAGCATTGCAGTCCATAGCCGCTTTCGTCATGTATTCTTCATATCGGTCCAGATGGCCTTCGTTGCCGACCATCTTTGCAAGATACTGGTAGGCCACGGGATGGTCGAGTAGGGACGCTCCTGCCACCACCGCCTCAAAACTTCCCTGGATATCCCCCTGAGAAATCTTCACTGCTGCATACATCTCCCAGGCTTGAGGGATACCAAGAACACTGTATGGGTCTTCATCTATGTGGCCGACTTGTGTCTGGTTGGGTACTGAGATCTCCATCGCCTTTGTCCAAAGGGTAAGTGCCTCCTCGGTGCGGCCATACCTCTCATGTAAAATGCGCCCGTAGAGTACCATTGCGTCCAGAAGATGCCGTTGAGCAAATTCTTCTAGGTAAGTCATCAAAACGCTTCTTTTGAGAGGGGTACCTGCTGTGAATTGCTGGTTAATAACGTAGAGAACGGCGAACGGTTCTTTCGACTCTGCTAGCCGATACAATAGCCAATTTGCTACGGCGCGGTAGTCGGGATGTTTCGAAAGGATGAAGGAAAGCCTAGACGACATGCACCGTTCTATGTGGCAGTTAGCTAACGGGACTGAGAAAACTAGATATCCAGATCACGACCACGTTCTCAGCAGTCAATGGGGCTTTACCATCACCTCGCTCGAATATCTCGCTCCCGTGCTTTGCACTACACGGTACGGCGAGTCTTATGAGCGTTCCAGCCAGGTGCATAGCTGCATCTATAGTTGCGCCCCCCATGAAGCTTGAGAGGGCGGATTCGAACAGAGCACGAGGGAGATTAGCAACCAATGCTTCCGCTTCATCTTCCGTCATGCGGATAGAGCTATGGGCTGACTGATATCTATCTTCCTTCTGACGGCCATGTATTGTTTTCCAGGTTGAAGGGGCTCTGGCGGCGGTGTGGGGAGGGGAAGAATGAAATTGTTTTCCCGGGAGAGTTGAGATCCTGCATGTGAGCCACAGAGGCCGCGACCTCACACATCGCACAGCAAACATCTAAGTGAAGATAAAAAAAAATTAAAAAATTAAAAAAAATCAAAGAATGAGCACGGTCCCAAGGATGGCTAAAGGAAAGACACTCTTCACCAGGGCCGGAGAATGCTCAATTGCTCAATGAGAGAGTTGGAGAAAAGAAAATAAAGACTGCGCTAGTGTAACTATCTGTTAGCTGGAGATGATGGCGCTTAGTAAGCAGGTACATTCGTTTAAAGTTCAATGTCGGGGATTTTCTAGTGAAATCCAGGTATTAAATATTCAGTTTCCTGCAGTAATAAATTGGCTGAGATTTCATAAATGCTGTTTAAAGGGAGAAATTGATTTTCTTTGCCAAAGGACTGTTGACTTTAAACCTCATGCTAGAAGCCGCATCGTTTACGATAAGTGGTGTGAAACCCTCAATGGGGAAAGCTTTCAAAAGAAGGGTAAGAATGAGAAGGATCTCATAGCCAAAAAGCGATAATGTACAATATATTGCCTCCACGCTCGTACACATACAGAACTATCAAACAGAGCATCCACTGTTTCGCAGCTCCAGTCGTCCAGTGAACAATATTCTATCCCCACACCGTTTAAACTCCAGGAAATGGGATGAGGGACAAGAAAAAACATCAATAAAATACAGAACTACTCCATGACAACCTTAGCCCCCAGGTCCTTCATTGCCTTAACAATCTTCTCGGCCTCCTCTTTAGGTACAGACTCCTTCATCACCTTCGGGGCACTTTCCACAAATTTCTTGCTGTCAACCAAGCTCAGGCTGAGAAGTGACTTAATCTCCTTGATGACCTTGGGCTTTGAGCCAGCGTCGAAGGACTCCAATTTCAAGTTGAACAATGTTTTCTCCTGGGCAGCTGGCGCGGGCTCCTCCTCTTCCACGGCAGCAGGGGCAGCACCACCAGCTGGACCGGCCGCAAAACCGCCAATGGGCAGATCGGGAATGTTAAGGCGAGACTAGATACCGCGAGTGAGACGTTAGCTGCAGCACTGCTAACAAACTTCGCATTGACCGACTCCCGCCAGCGACAACGAAACCAAATCGATACGCATCACTGTTAAAAGCGTTTACAGTAGAAGAAAACAGAATTCCAGTGTGCAATTAAACAAAAGCCCGTATCAATTGAGCCCACCTTCAAGCTCGAAACCAGATCAGCAGTCTCCAACAATGTCAATTGACTTATTTGGTCCACAATCTGTGTGATCTTAGGGTTCGAAGGAGCCGCCGGCGGCGCCTCGGTGGACTGCCATCTTCTCGCTCCGACTGCAGCTGGGATTGTTCGTTTGCATTGAGAGAAGCATGTAGAGGAGGAGAGACGGAAGGACGGCGGCTGGCGGAGGAGGTTGCGGCAGGATCGGGCTGCCGTCTGTGAAGGAATTGACATGGCTGTTGAAGAATGAGAGATCTGACAGAAACGGCTTTTATCACGTAGCGGAGAGCAGAGGGAGAGGGTGGAGGACGAAGGCGAGGGAATTGAGCTGACACGGGGCCTGTGGTGCTGCTGGTTCTTTTTCTTGCTTGATATCGTCAGGAAAAGATTGAATCGTCGCGGAGGTTTGAAAATTCCAAATGCGGGAGGCACGTGATGGTCATCCCACAATACGGCCGCCGATAAGTTTATCCGAAACCGAGGCTCTTTTCCCTTTTCTTTCCTTGGAAGTAAACAAATCTCTTTGACTTCAACAACACAACGACAAAGAAAATATCAACAGCTTCCATATGTGGGGAGGGAGAGGGGAGGAACTTCTTCCGTTTCAGCAAGCTCCTATGGATATATACTTCTCACTCGCGGAGAAACGGCTTGCTACCTCCGTCGCATTCGCGTGGGTCTCCTATCGTTTTGGCCTAACAATTCTTAGGCTTCTCCGCAAATATCTCAACAGAGCTGCTGTACGACGACGACAGGCCCGCCGCAGTTCTCGCGTGGGCCAAGGTTCACAGACGACAGAAACAGACAATGCAACCGTAGGCCAGACTTGAGCCTATTACTGGGCCATGGATTCAATAACCCAACTTCCACTCTCTAATGTTTCCTCCAGAGTTGGCTTCGGTATTATCTCTGATTTCGTTGGATTTTGATGTGCACATTTCGGAGAGATATGCGAGGCGAAAAAATGGATAATATCAGATGCATTCTGAGGGAGACAGTTGTGGCCGAGTTCCACTCGTGCTTTTTACATCTCGCCCCAAAATAAACGAGGCTATCTGATTATCTTCCGACAAACCAAATGCAGATCAAGAGAGGAGATAAGGAAGGAAAGACTTGATGGCGCCTTACGTCGATGCTTCTGTGCATTATTTGGGAACGAATCGGTCAAAATTTCAATATTTGCCGTCCAACATAACACCTCACGAACCTCCCTAACCGTCTACAGCTCCACCCACGCGGTAAACTTCACCGATAAACTGTGCCACTCTTTTCGCGAAGAAATCGCGAACAAAATCTCAGTACTCGACATCTAGAGTGTGCGAAGTGACGCAACTGCAATGCACAACATGAACGAAAAAGGGTTAAACTGATCGCACTCCAGTGCGTCGCGCAAAAGGGAGAGACGAAGACTTTATGCTTCCCATAGATGGACATATACACCTCTCCTCTCCTATTTAAATAACGTAGATTGTGCTTTTTCCAATGGAGCTTACTGATATGGCGTGGGTGGGTGGTACGGGCTGAGGTTTGCGTTTTACGGATGTTTTCTTTTTTTGGCTGATACGCATCTTCCTCTTCTCTATCTTGCTTTCACGAATTTGATGAATATGATACCCCCGCTTCTATTTCGCTCCTGCTTCCTGGCGCACCTGGGAACTCTGCTTTTGTATGTCTTTTGGCCCTAACCCCATTCCTTTTTTCATGTCGCATAGTTTCAAACATGATATCTATGATACATTCCCATACACACATACATACACATACATCCATACAACTTGATCAAATGTATCGGATCCATCTATTAACTGTGGCAGCTTCACAATTGACAAATGGGGTATAACTAGGTGGATAATTGCGTAGATAGTTCCTAAGTATGTACGGTGCGCTACATATCTCCCTCTCTCTAGACAGGGAGATAAACATGTGATTGAGTTGAGTTCGAGGCTTCAAATCACCTACAATTCAACGCTAATGGAACATGAATTTCATGTTCGAGCGAGAAAGGAAATCTATTTCATTCCGCCTGATAATCCGCTACCCCTACACTTCCTACCTCCATGAATTAGCATGCCAACCAAAACCATGAGAAAATAGGGTAAAGAAAGCGGGCATCGCCAGCCCAGCCTCTGTCTATCTCAACCAAATTGACATCCAGTAGTCTAGTAGTAGAAATCCATTTAGCCATTTGCATGTTCCCGCTTTTTTTTTTTTCCAAAAGAGAGTAAAAAAAATAAAGCAAGAGATCAATTTTATTTTTTTTTCCATTGGAATTAGTGTATAAAAATGCCAAAAGAAATTCATCCATTTTATTATTGCCTGTCTCTCTCTCTCTTTTTCCCCTTCCCTTTTGCAATTTACTCTCACCATACATCAGAACAACAGCACCAGCTACAGCAACAACGTCAACAACACCTGATCGTTGATCAAATCATACCCCTCAATCCTCATCCCAATTAGGATTCTGCCCCGGTGGCTTTGGCCCGCCCGCCTGCCTGGCCACAATAATCTGATCAACCGACAACACCGTCCGCGCCGCCTCCGTCGCCAACCTGATAGCCCATGCCTTCGAAACGAGTAAATCAAGGATCCCGTCATCGACGGCATTCACGGTTCCCGAGGTGGAGAATGCATGTAAGTCTACGCCGGTGGTCCAGAATGGCTCGTCTTCATCGGACGAGGAGGCGTTTTCGGACGACTCTTCCGATTCCTCCTCTTCATCTTCATCGTCATCGTCAGCATTGGAGGGGCGGTTCTTGTTTGCCGGTATCGATCTACGGTGTTGCTGATGCGCGGTGTAGAGACGTGATAGGACCTCGGTGGCATCCAGGCCGGCGGATTCAGCCAGCGTGCGTGGGATGACTTCGAACGCCTCGGCATATTTGCGGATGGCATACTGTGGAAGCCCAGGAGTTTTATCCGCAATGGCAGAGATGCGTTCGACGAGTTGGATCTCCGTCGCGCCAGCGCCAGGGACCAGGCGGGGGTCCTTTGTTACTGCTTTGATAACATTGACGCCGTCATCAATGGCGCGCTCAACGTCATCGAGGAGGTTTTGCGTTGCGCCGCGCAGCACGATGGTTGCAGTCCGTGTGACGGTGCCAGCGTCCTCTTGTCGGAAGACGGTCACGCGGTCACCGCCAATCTCGAGCGTCTCGACCACGTCAACGGTACCCATTTCATCCGGCATGGGAGCACCAAGGCGGGCAAGGGGTGTAGCGCCAACAACACGGCATAGACGGCGGAGTTCGAATTTGGAGAGTACCTTGATGACGAGGATGTTGAAGCGGTTGAGGTAGTGCATTGCCAGCTCGCCGATTGTAGAGCCTGCCACGGCGACACGGACACCGGAGTCATATAATTCTTTAATTGTTGCTTCCAGACGTGCCTCTTCGCCCTTTGTGAAATCCAACATCTCCTTCGCATTGTGCAAGAGGACTGTTCCTTTCGTTTCTGTTTGTGAAATATCGATCGGACAGCTGAAAACGCCAACCTTGGCTTTTTTGGCCTTTTTTATAGCTCCGTCGGGTTCACGGCCGAAAACCATTCCTTTGACGACTCGTGATTGCTCCAAGCTACCTCCCATGATTTTGACAACTCGAATATTATCCACATTGAAATTTGCTGGGTTCTTTGGGAGGACTGCCAACACGGCCTCTGCAACAAGTGGAGCAAGAATATCTTCTGAGCCGGACTGTTTGCTTGCAATGACAGTTCTGACCGCTTTGCTCAACTCCGTCGTAGACCGTAGCTCCTTGAGCCGATCCACCTCGAGATCTAGAGAAGAGGTTAACAACAGACGTCAGTGAAAGAATTTCCCTAAAATATAGCAAATTAAACAACAAAAAAATTAACGAATACAAGAAATAGGGCAAAAAAACTCACCGTCCAAACACCTCAACGCAATCCCCTGCGCCTTCTCATACCCCAGAACAATATCGCTCGTCTTAAGTCCCATTCGCAGTAATTCTTCGGCCTTTTTCAGCAACTCTCCCGTAAGCACAATAACCAAATTAGTCGCATCGCCCATCTCTGCTTCCTGCTGCTGGCTGGCCATGACGACCAGTTTGGCAGCCGGGTGCACAACCTCCAGCTCGCGTAGGATGGTGGCGGCATCGGAGGTCAGGATCAGCTTCTGTAGGTGGTTGATTACGATTTTGTTGCGGCCGTTAGGGCCCAGTGAGGTCTGCACGGTCTGTGCAATGGCGCGGCATGCTTCGATATTACGGAGGACAGCGCCGTCTTCGGAGTCATGGCTGTGCGGAGAAGGGTTTGTTAGTTAGAGTGGGATGGATAGTGAGTGGCCTTGTTGGTTATTGATATTTGGTATGGTTTTTCATATACCGGAGTTTCTCCGAGTGGCTTGGGGCAGAAGGGGATATACGGGATAATGAGACGAAGAAGAACGTCAAACTTGAAGAAAAAGATATAGTGTTGTGATGCGTGGTGCGTGGGTGGGATGTACCAATATTATGGCATATCAGCGGGGAGGGGAGGGGCGAAAGTTCGAAGCACGTACCTGGTATAACCCTGCTTGAACAGCCCAGCATTTGGGGCGTTGGGAATTGACAACGACATGGTTATATGTGTATGTATATGTGCCTCCTCCTCTGTCTATGGTGAAGAGGAATCGGGTGGGTGGTGATGTCGTCTTCTCCGTTTTTGAAGCTGCTCTGATTGCCCGAATTTGGTGAGCTCAGGCTTGGGTGGGCGATGAGTTTGCTCTGTTTGCACTCTAGTATCAATACATCCATGGTACGAAGATTACATACAAATATTTCGCTACTATCAAAGTCAAATGCCTGCAATGATTACCGCTTTAGCATTAAATTGCAACTATTGTCGACTTATCGTACACATTATCTGGAGATGCCAAATAGATATCCAATTCATATGTTATACACACGCTGCTCTACCAGAAAGACCCGATTGCCTGTCCAAAACTCTCGGCTACGAATGACATGTCAGCAGGGAGTCCATTAAACTCCAGCAATCATTAACATCAAAATCACCTACCATATCGCTCTGTAACTCCACATCCGCTGTCATCATACACGGTATTTGCTTGCGGGAGCCTAGAGTAGGAATATCGTCGTTAGCAAATCAAAATCCCATACGCACGCTCTCCGAGGACAGTAAAAGCCGCGCGAATTGTAAATTACACTTACCATTTCTGAATTGCCTCCATCCGTCTCCGGCTCTGTATATAACGCCGTCAGTTAATATATTCAAACAATACGAATAAATATTGATCAATAAACCCACAGAAGGATGCGTCGACAATATCTGGGAAGGCACTGCCTTCTCTGCCCGGTGCATCCGGCTCCATCTATATTTTTTTTAAAAAAAAGAAGGGACGGGGAGTTGTTAGCGAACGTTATAATCAAAATCCTTGAACGCGTGGGCTCGTTAGAACATATTAAAAAGCAGGGAAAACATACAATCCAACCGCAGCTTCAGGTTTAAAACAGCTCTTTGCCATCATCACTGTCAAGGGGACCATGGTTAGAGAATCCGCCCATCATTTCTAGTGCGAAGCGGGTACAGAACATACTGAGTCCAATCTCATCCGCCTCAGACTATGTAATATCGTAAGGCGGCACGTTAGCAACAGGAACAATAACAATCTCCTCCCGCCAATCCATAACATAATAGCGCAGAAGACATAGTCGAAGTAAAACAAAAAAAAAAAAAAAAAAAACAGGCACTAACCTCCTGCGTCCTCGAATTCGGCAAAGCAAGCATCAAATTCAAAATCGCCGACGACAGGTTTTGCGACACGTCAAACAGCATCGATGCTGCCAACGCGGCGACGATCACGATGATACTCGAACTCATGCGCTCGGCCGGGTGGTGGGCGAGGACGTGTGCGATTTCATGTCCCAGGACGGCAGCGAGACCGTCCCTATCTCGGCAGATGGGTAAAATGCCCGTGAACACGAAGACGTTTCCACTGCGAAGAAGAAATAGACTATGATCAGTAAAAAGGTTGCTTGCTGCGTACGAATACAATATAATTTGAAGCGTATATATATATATATATATATATATTATATACATATACGTACCCCGGCAACACAAATGCATTCATCTCCGACGAGTTAATCACATGCACCTTCCACTTCAGATTCTTAAGCAGGGCATCTTCTTCGCCCAGCTGCGGCTGGCCGGAGAGGATCAACTTGCGAAAGACACTGTCGACATATCTGACGAGGTGATGAGACTCGGGTAGGAATTGGCCTCGATATTCCTGCAAGATCATCTCGTACGTCTGTTTGCCGAATTGCATCTCCATCTCGTTGGAAATGCAGTTGAAACGGCGCCGGCCGGTCATCTACATACGTGCGTAGAACAAAAGAGAAGTAAGATTTAGCCGATGCGTATGCGTGTATATCTTGAAAAAAAAAAAAAAAAAAAAAAAAAAAAAAAAAAAAAAAAAAAAAAAGGAAAAAAAGAAAGAAGAATGTTGTTGTTGTTTGTTGGGGGGAGGGGGTTCTCCAAAGAAAAGGGGAAAGGGGGCGAAATTTTTAAAGCTCGAGCAAGAGTGAAGGTAGATATAGAAGAAAACCCACCGGAACAACATCCAAATTCCACACGTAGAACCCCACCACCGCCGCCCCGCCCCCGACAATCATATACCGATATTGCGCCCAAAAGTACGTGAGGCGGCTATTCCCCCATGGCCCCGGCCCCGTTCCTTCGCCCCCGCCATATCCACCGCCGCGCCCCTCAAAGCTCCGGTATTTGTAATTCCCATCACGCCTCTGCTGCTGAGATTGCGAGAACGCGCGCAACTGTTTGAGTGGTTGGTGGAGGCGGAGGCGGTGGCAGAGGCGGTGGTGACTGGGTGCTCTCTGGGAGCGGAGGAGGGGGGGATTGTTGCTGGTGGTGCGGGGAGGGGGGGTATTGCTGGTATAATAAGTCGCGGACGCTGGGCCTGATGCTGGTGGTATCTGTCGACGGGCTATAGGGTGCGGATCCCACGGGCTTCTCGCTCCCCGCGCAAGACCCGATCGCCAGTGTGCGTGCGAGGGAGAGGATAGCTGGCGCGAGTGGAGGGGGATGGGGAACTGTGCGGGTGCGGAGTTCGGAGGCGGGATGCGAACGGGGTGCCGTCGCGAGGGTAAGGAGCGGAGAGTCGATGCGGTATTGGTTTTAAGAGTTTGATTCAGGTTAGTGGTAACGGTCGATAGAGTCCGGGTAAGGAAATATGGGCGGGATAATGACTGCGACAACATTGATGCGGCAGCGCTGGGGGTGGTGGTGAGCTTCGAGCTCCCGCTGCGGTGAAGCGCGCGCCACATTGCTTGTATGTAACTCCTTCTCCGCAGTAGTAGTAGTAGTAGTAGTTAGTGGAAGTCAAGGCCTGTTGTTTGTCAATGCTTGGTCTATGAGTTCTGTTGGGATATCGGTGTGGTAAGCTAGCTTTTTGAAGCTCTCAGGAGTCGAGGATGAAGTATTTAGGTGAGGTGATAATGCAAGGCAACAAACAGTGCATCATCATTGCTCATAAAATATATACCAGCACGTTCGCAGCGAGTCACCCCACCAACGATCTACTTTATTCGTTTGTCAAAGGTGGGAAAGGGAATGTAAAATATAATAAATAACTATCAGAATAAAATAAGTAAAAATAAATAAAAATAAAAATAGAAAAAGAAGAAAAAAAAGAACAAAAAAAAAAAGAAAAAAGAAAAAAACAGCAGCAAATGCTCCCGATAGCGGCCTATGGATAGAGAAACAGCCCACTCTCTCAGGATTAAAAGAACAACGATAAGAAGAAGTGAACTGGTCTCTGCCATTTCACTTTAACTTATCGCAGCCAAGTAAAAATTCCTCTCTCCTTTCCCGTCTATATTTCACGTACGCGCATTTGTGGCAGAAATATCACAACAAAATGTCGCACAAAAATGTACATATATAGAGATATATAGACAGCTTGTTAAACTAGATAACTGGGTAGATAGACAACAAAACCAATCAAGAAATATGTAAAAAACACACACAAAAAGGGGGTCCCCGGGGTGAGTTAGAAAGAGATGGCCAAGTATCCAAAACATTCCAGGACGGAAACATGAAATGGGAGAAACAGGGAGGTAAAACATATAAGAAAAATTCAAATGATCAACATTTGGCATCCATGGAAAAACGAGTTCATTAATTTTCCAACCAATTCTCCAGAAAAAAAAAAAAAAAAAAGCAACCAAGGGAATTAAAAAATAGCAAATATAGATTATAGATTGAGGGGATATAGTGTATAGAGGTATACGAAGTGGAGAAAGAAAAAGAAAAAGAAAAGGAAAAAAATCCTGATCCGGAATCTGGGAGCAAGAAGTAGAAGAAGAAGAAGGAAGAGTCCAAAAACAACAGGAGAGGGGTATGATACACAACAAAAAATAAATCAAACCAGGGGGGAAAATGCGAACCGTAAGAAGGTAAACGATGTAAGGGGTAAAAAAGTGTGTATATGAGTATATACCCAGGAAACGGAAATCATGAAATGGGGGCGGAGGGGGTGGTGATAAGTAACAGGCATGAAAAAGAAAAGAAAAAGGTGCAGGGCACTTGGAAAACGAGATGTACCACACACGGATGCGCCCAAGACTAGACAAATAGCCTGAAAAAGAGAAACCAGAAACCAGAAAGGGAGGAGGAAAACAAAAAGGGGGAGGGGTTGGTGGTCAAGTTTGTATATACCCCAACACCCAACAAACAAATATATACCTAATACCTCATCTACTCCTCCGCCAACGAATCATCCCCGATTTCCCTCCACTCCCTCGATCGCTCCGTCAACCGTTTAATCCCCGCAACACGTTCCGCCCAATGCGCCTCCGACAGCGTGCGGAACGTATACGCCCTCTGCGACGAAATGATGCCGATGGCCTGCAGCACCGCTTTGCGCGAATCGCGCCCGAAGACGGCCGGGTGGTTTATCCACTCAAGCGCAGCTTCTATGTCGGCGTCCAGGGCGGCGATTATGGAGCTGTCGACGGCGTTGACGGGTGGGGTTATAGTGGCGGTTTCGGAGGGTGGGTTGGAAGGGGGGTGCGGTGAGTGGGGGATTGCTGGGGGTGTGGAGGCGTGCGTGGTGTTGGTGGTTTCGGGGATCTCCGGGGAGGAGGAGTTGGGGGAGCTGAGAGCGCTGGCGGCGTCTTGGGTGGGTTTTTGGGCGAAGGGGGGGAGGGGGGGGAGGCCGCCCTTTCCCAGGCCCTTGAGGATGCTGCGGGTTTCTGTGAGGAGGTGGTGGGCACGGTCTTGTTGGGAGCGCGAGACGAGGGTTAGGGCTCGTGTGAGCATGTCTGAGGTGAGGAGCTCCATGCGGCGTTGCACGATGGAGGGGTGCGGTGGGATGGGTGGCGTAGAGGGTCTTCCGGACTTGGGGCGCTGGGAGGCTGGGAGCATGGTAATCGCGAGGAGAGATGGTCTTGGGCAATGCGCCAAGTGGCCTTCGCGAAGAATGTCTCCATACGTGAGATCAGCCTGGATCAGAGGAACCTCTTCTACGCTAACGATGCGCTGCTCATCGCCGTCGAGTGGTCCACCAAGGGCTTCTAGCCCGGAAACAATGCTCTCCCAAGCGTCCTGAGGTACATGTTCTTGCGTCGTGTTGTCAGGGATAATGACAAGTTGGACGAGGATATCTACACCACACGATTAGCGCCATGGATATATATACGCACAGATCAAGCCTACAAGATTCCATCTTGTGTCTTTACTTACCCCGTTTGTCACCAAACCTTAAATCGCCAAGTGCCGCCTCTGCATCCCGGCCCGCTGCTCGTTTGGTAGTTTGCAGAGCGCCGCTAATTTTTACAAATTTCGCTGGAGAACCCTCGGGCAGCCGCAGCTTGAGCTTAGCGTTTTGGTGAGAGGTGGTCTGAAGCGATCCCAGACATCCCGCGACGCACTCTCGAAGCATCATCCAATCCTTAACGTACGTATATGAAGCTTTGGTCCGAGTAGATAATTCGATCATGGTATCGGGTTTGTGCGTAAGTCCCAATCCAAACGAATGGATCCCGACCCTGACGGAAAGAACACAAGTGAGCACGACAAACAAGTCAAAGATGAAGAAACATACGCAAACAGGTTAGGGGAAAAGAGCGGGGAAACCCGCCCGCGGGGGGGGGGGGGGGGTAAATCGAGAAGGGAAACAAAGCACTAAATTTGCAGCCTCCGCCCGGGAAAACACAAAGGCCACACTCTCCGGCTCAGAAATGGACGAATCACTAATCAGCAAAATAGTCGAGAGCGGGTTATTCGATTTCCGCTGCATCAGCAGGGTCCATGGCAACATTCGCCCCTTCAACGACGTCTGCGCGAAGACTCTTTTGCCCCACCGGACGTATCGAGTTAAGAATAGTTCCCCATCCGCTCCAGGCTTTTGTCGTCATGCCGACCAACGGCACACCTCCACCACTAGACCCGAACGTAACGAGACCCATTCGATCTCGCGGGCCGAGATTCTGCACTAGGAATTTGAGAGCGTCGCGGAGAAGGGTGATCTTAAGCCCCTGCATGGATGACGAGACCGGGATGACGATGACTAGATCGAGAGGAACGTGGAAACTTGGGAGTAGAGTGTCCCTGATCGAGTTGGTGTAATCTGTCAATGCGGTGTTGTTGGATTTTGATGCCCCATATGACGAGGTGGTGGAGGAGACGCGTTTGATCGTTTTATGAGTCCGATAATCATCCTCCTCGGTGCCGGAGGTATCCACGTCGTAGTCTGGGTTCCGGCCTCCTGCTGAATCGGGATTGTGGAGATCAAGAAGACCTCGTCTCCAAAGCTCTAGCTGGTTGCGACTCTGGAATTGGAGGTGGAAACATGGGAGCTCCGCAACGGAGAGATTAAGAGTCAAAATGGGTTCCTCTATGATAAAGTTAGGAACAAGACGACGTGAATATTTTCATCGGGGCTGGTGGTTCGGTAAGGGGAATAGGGGATAAATTACCTGGCACGGATTCCACGTCCTTCAAATGTTTCTTGATAAGAATAGACCCCTTCAACGTACACCTGGTCATCTTTCGCTTGGTCCTCGGATCCTCAAACTGACTATGTCCATTTTTCTTTTCCTTCACGCAAATAAGCATCTCCGCGAAAAGATAGCATTCTAGCTCCTGCCACGACGTCCGATCCTTGCCAACACGAACAGTTCCATGTAGTTTGAGTTTTCCAAACCTGTGAAATGAGTTAGCAAGCCAATATATATATAACCAAACAACTACAGCATCGTTTCTCATCTACGAGAATAGCTTTATATATACCTTTGGAATTCCAGACCATGCCAATTGTCGACGCGCATGCGCAACTCCTCTGAAATCTCCTGTAGGGCCTCTTGCGCCTCATAAGGAACCGGCAACGGTCGCGCAGGCTGCTTGATCGGCGGACTCACAATCTCCTCATTGCGCGGTGGTGGTATATGTGCCGTATGACGTAAATCCTCCAGGTCAGGGTGCCAGTTGCCCTCAGGAACCTCAACAGTCACCAGGCAAGTCAAGGACTGCTGCTGCCGTGACCGATTGAGTGTCGGGAACTCGCTGCGCACGGTTACAATTGGGGCCGGTATCGGGTTCCGTATGACACCCGGGCGCGGGCTAAGGTCGGATTCCATGGCCTGTACGTCGTAATCATGCCGCCTCCCGGTACTGTGGTGCTGGCCGTCTCCATAGTCGCCCGAAGATGCAACCCCGGTGGTACCACTGTCCGAGCGCGAATGTGGTTGCCGTGTTGACGGGCTTGTTAGACGCTCGACCCTCTCGCGCTGGTTACTGGTATCTCTACTATGACGCCTGCGAGAGTCCCGGCTGCAATGCAGACTGCCCATGTCGTCTTCATGCGCACGGTTACCATTGATATCCCACGGTGTGGGAGTATTTTGATTTCCTCTACGGCTGGACACATCGCTGACAGATACAGATCGAACAATATTGGAGAGTTTTGCTGCAAGCGAGGGGGATTGAAATCAGTCAGTGCATATCCCACATCAAAACTGGCACCTAGAATAAATAAATATAAAAAAAACCGGGGGGGGGGGGCGAGCGAGGGTGAAAATTACCTAAATCAAGCACGTTTCCTCCTCGATTACTATCCAAACCCAGGGGCGCACTGCATGTGGGACAGTACTGCGATTCGAATTCTTTGATATACTCATAAAAGCATGCTTCATGAGAAACGTGGCCACATGATAACTGGAGGATGCGTTCTCCACGAAGAGTATGTTCCAACGGCTCTTCACAGACTGCGCATTCGCTACCCACAAAGGTCCTCTCCCTCCGCGGCCGGGTCCGTTCGACGTCCATCATACCCGCCATCGACCTGCCCGGTCGCGAGTTGAAGGACGTCTGGGAGTGATTTGAGTGCCCGCGGGATCCTGGGCGATACCCCGGTCTCGACGATGACCTGAGATTGGAATTGGAAGGGGTTCGGGGAAACTGGGATAGCGCTGAGTGGCTTCTTTCTGCTGGAGGTGATAGGGAGGGGGAGAACTGAGAGCGGTGATGAGAGGTTAAGAGCGTTGACTGCGACGAGTCTGGTCGAAGAGAAGAGCAGTTGACTTGCGAGCGGAGGTCTAGATCGACGTGGTGGTTGGCTTAGTTAACGTTTTTGGCTTTTTACTTTTGTCAATTGCAGGACATACGAAAGTAGGAGCAGCTAGATAATTGATTTAACTGATGACAGATTGACAGGTTGAAAAGTCGATCGGGCAAAGCGGGCGTAGTAGGTTAAATAATAAAAAAACAAATAACGAGCAGGCAGTGGCCTGGGAGAAAGAGAAGTAATGCAATGCAGGTAGCCGAATCAGCAGACGCCCAGGAGCAGCATACTAGTATAGTATATGAAATCGAGAGCAGCCAATAATGGGTCAATGCTAGACAGATGAACTGACTTTTGGGAAAAGAGCGCAGTAGTAAAAATACGTATACAAGATATTTAACTACTGTAAAGGGGGGAGGGGGAGGAAGAGGAGGAGGGGAGGGGAGGTGAAGGAGTAATATTCATGGATTATAAAAAAGCAACAAGCAGCAGGGAAAAAAAAAGCAAAGAAAACGAAAACGAGGTTTAAAGAAAAAATAAGCCGAGATAAAGTCTGGGAAAAAAAAAAAAAAAAAAAAAACACGAACAGCTCCCCAAGCCAAAGAAAAAAAATAAAATAAACCCACCTTGCCGTGAGGATCTTCTTGGGCCAAACAGGCCAAGACTGGATAGATAGCGATGAGAGGTGTCGTCCTTGTCCTTCGGGGTGGAATCGAGCCTGGACGGAGCTCGGTGCTGCCACATCAGACTCGAAGCAACAAGAGAGGGAGAATGGGTTAGAAATAATAATAGGAGGTTCCAATCCCAAGATTGGAGGCGGGTAGCGCGAGTGAGGTGAGGATAGGATAGCGCGGGCGTAGCGTCGTTGTGGTGGGCGCTGGTGGAGGACGTCTGTCTCTTGTTTATCGTCTGGGAGAATTGGAGAGAGAGAGAGAGAGAGAGAGAGAGACAGAGAGAGATGGAGAGAGACAGAGAGTCAAGAGAGACAAGAGAGAGGAGCTGGCAGACAAAGCACACAGGCTGAGCGATGAAGAAGAGCTCGCTCACAGTCACTCCAGACCAGACAGACAGTAGTAAGATAATGATAATAATAATAACAATACTAAGAGTAACTTAGTAGTAGTGCATGCCAGACAGTCTCCAGGATCCTCTAGCAATCACAGGGGATGCGGAGTCGGTCGTTGACTAGCAGCAGTAGCAGTTTTAGCCCTGGAATAGTTACAGCCTGTATTCGATATCGTATCAGCTGTAGGAATATATAGTCAGTAGTAGAGTAGTGTAGTGGCGAGGGCGGGAATGGACGGAGGGGGCTGCAATACAGCAATAATAATAATAATAATAATAATAATCACCGTATCGGCATAATCGCAGACAAGGCGTCAGAATACAGACGCCGTACCGGGTTTACCAGGAAGAGAGCCTCGAAGAGGTCAGTCAATATAGTTACTGGTAAATCAACCCGGGATACGGGATATGTAGGTATACAGCTGGAAGAAAGGAAAAGAAAGGAAAGGGAAAGAAAAGGAAGAACATGGGAAACCGGAAGAATGGGATGCAAGAAGCAAAAGAAAGAATGAAAGAATGCGAGAAAACAAGGACAAAAGTCAAAATAACAGAAAAACAGAAATAAAAAAACACAAAAAACAAAAAAACAAAAAAAAAAAAAAAAAAAAAAAAAAAAAAAAACAAAAAAAATAGAAAATCCATCAAAAAAGGCATCGAAGAGAAGAAGAGGGCGGCGGGTAAAGGCTGGCTAGCACCTACTCTACTCTACTACTCCCTACTGCCTGCATATCCGGGCCCAAATAATGCAATGCAAATGAGGGCCATGACATGACATGACTGACTGGAACTAGTAGGACTGTAGGACTGGACTGGACTGGGCCGCTGGACAGCCCTAAACCACGGCGCGCTGGCTGAATATTATTTATTATTATTATTATAATTGCCAAACCGAACTCTGCAGCTGGAATCGTATTCCCAAGCGCTGGGAAAAGCTCCAGCTCTCTCTCCCTCCCTCCCCCCGTGGTGGGCGGGGCGGGGCGGGGCTAGGCTGGGCTGGGCTGGGGTGGTTGGAGATATTATGTGAAGTAACTAGGTTGATGCAAATTCGGTGTTGATTTATTTTATTTTATATTTTATATTTTATATTTTATATATTTTTTGTGTTTCGCTCCGAACCGAAATCCGGGCTGAATCAATATTTGTGGCGTTTTTGGGTTTGGAGGGTTTGGGAGGTTGGGAGGTTGGGAGTCTGTGAAGTCTGGAAGTCTGGAAGTCTGGAAGTCTGGGACCTTGGGCCAGCCTGGAAATAAATAACAGTTTGGGCAACGGAGGAACTAATAACTATACAACAAGTAGTTACAGCAGAGCCTGGGAGAAAGAGAGAAAAAAAAAAAAAAGGTAAGATCTTGTGGCCGCGGGATGGAACTGCATAGAGTCATCAATCATCAATCATCAATCAAATCATCACGATCCACCACCCAGGTTGTATTGTGTTGAATGAAGTTGTTGATCCTTATGGAGCTATTTCCAGGTTAGTTACACATGCCATGCAACTCATACAAACTCATGCATGTTCTGCCGCCTGTATGTCCAACTACAAAGAAATATATATAATAGAAGCTCATGGATTAAGGTATATATATATATATATATATCTCGGATAATGTATTTATTGCTCTTGGAAGGCTTCGGAAGTTTTCTCAGGGCCCATGTACTGTACATGTAGTAATGTAATATATTCTGCAGGCCTAAACAAACTATACAACCCTGGACAAACCAGGAATAGAAAAATAAATCCCTATCTATCCCAATCCCTACCCATACCCTTACCCTTACCCATTCCCATTCCCATTCCCATTCCTCGATGCCTGCAGGGGCCGGGAGTCGTTTCGGGTAGGATCGTGCCCCTGTAATTTATAACAAGGCAATTCTATCTACTCCGTATATGCAACTACAGACACACACCATGCCCGTCAAATGTCCGGGAGAATCGAGGCAAGACAGAGGATATTGCGAATCCTCGTGGATTAAGATATAGTTATATACATACATACCCCCAGGTAGTTAATATCATCAGCGCAGTTAGATAAAAAAAAAAAAAAAAAAGAAAAGAAAAGAAAAGAAAAAAAGAAAAAAAATAGATATTATAATAACCCACCCAGCATATAGGACCCCTGTGTAGCCCCCGGAAAGCTTGTTGAAAATTTGTCTACACATTTACGTAGTAGAAGCATACTACGGAGTACACTGCACTCTCTCCCCCCTCGCCCCTTGCCCATATGCAGAGAGAGGCCTCCCCCTTCTCCATCCCCCTTCAACTACCATGCTTCTACGAAATCATTTAATTATTACGTGGTAAGATGGTAGGTAAGTTTTGCCTAGCCCGAGGGGCTCTGCTCTGTGCATGAGGTGAGGAGTGCGTTCCGGGTGGCCTCTCATCAGTAATGCTGTTTCAGCTTGTTTGAGAAATATGAGGGATCATTGTCGTATTGATCAAAGTGACGGGTTGGTTGGAAGGGTTTTTTGGTTTGAGTCCCTTGAATGTACGCAGTATGTATGACTGACTGACTCACTGACTATTTTCAAATTTTCATTATTTATCTGGCCTCATTAGTTAGTTATTATTCTATTTCTTATAAGAAGCAACAGAAGCAGAAGAGGAACACCAGGCTAGGCTGTCATGTCAGTCAACGTAATTCTCCTTGTAGCACCAATTTCGGAGCCAGATCATCGCTGTCAGGCTCCCCCCGGGAGTGTGCCACTGCAGTTGTGTCATGTAACCATTTAACTTTGTAGTTTATATATCTGAAGATGGTTACTCCGTACATGTCCACGCTTTGAGATCTGTACATGTACAACATCTTAAAAAATATAAAATACAATCTTCATAGGTTCGGGGAAAAAAAAGAAAAAAGAAAAAGAAACCATCACTGAGTGCCTTGGGTATGTACAGTACTACTGAGTAATACCTTGGTGCTTTGGTACTATTACGCCCATGCTCCTTCGTCTTCCCTCTTGCAAGGTTCCATATTCCTCCGAGCATGTTCAACAGTACGGAGTAGTACGAGCACGGATACCACCACAAAACTCTCCGAAGAAAGCTCACGAAAAGACCCCGTCTTCGAAAAAAGAGTCCCGAGCATATACTATGCGTAAGAATATATGATCTATCCAACTTCCTCCCACACTCACTCAACTCCCTTGAGTCCTTCGATCCTTGATGAGTCCTGAGTCCTGAGTCCCCGCCGCCTCCTTGCCTCGTCCAGTCGGGTCCCGTCCCAGCTGTCAGGTTCGCAGTTTTTAGCAGGTGCAGCAGCGCGCCCCCCCCTCAGAACCTCAGAACCACATAAGCCACGCCCGTTACACCATCTCCCATCTGAAACCGCCCGGTTCTCAATTCCCCGAATCCCCGCCAAAGCAAGCTTGTTGTATGGGGGGGGGGGGGTGGGTGCATGCTGCGAACTGCTTGTAGGGGTCTGGGTCGCGGCGCTAGCCAGCCATTCCCAAGAGTCAAGAGTACTTATTTTTTATTAGCATGCTTCTACTCCGTATTCTATTCTATTCTAATCTGTAGTTAACTAGGGAGAAAAAAAAAAAAAATAAACCCCCGCGCCCCACGCGAGAAAAAAATCCTGAAACATCCAAAATTTGGCAAGCAACCGCTTTCGCTTTTGCTTTTCTTTTGCTTTTATTCCTGGTGAAGGACTCGAGGCCTCGAGTTGGTAGCAAGGCAGGGCAGGCATTGACAATTTGCATCTGTTGGCCATTCTCTCATTGCTGGCCTGCCTATGCCTACCTTCTCCGAAACATGCTCCTGTTTAACTTATTATTTTATTTCTCACTCGCCTCGTATATCTTAGAGACTCCTGGGTGGTGGGAACCTGTCAAATGCCAACATGCCAACAGAAACTAGATGAACTGCAGATTTAATCCTAATAATAATGCCATCGATTGTCCATGTCCATGTCCATGTCCATGTACATGTACATACATTACATACATTTGCACACCAACGGACCGGCCCCCCATATCTATGTATGGAGCAGCATACGCAGTACCATACCCGCAGTGAGGATGAGCAGCGGAAATCCAAACCCACCAGGCTGACTCCACTCCCCACCCGCCGATTTTCCGGCAGGAGAGAACTAATCTAATTCCCATAGCCGTCGATCATTAGCAACGTTCAGTCGCTCGTCGGGGGTGCGGGGGGGTCGGGGGAGGTGAGGGAGGTGAAGGGAGCGCAGCTTTCGGCGATGGCGCTCGGGAGTCGGGAGCCGTTCGTTGGTTTTTGGTTGAAGATGTTGCAAATCCGTTACCTATGTAGGATAGGGCAGGGAGAGGGAGAGGGAGAGGGAGAGGGAGAGGGGGCTGGGGGCTGGGGCTGAAGAACGAAATATAGTGTGGTGTGTGTGTGTGTGTGTGCGCGGGAAACTTGAGGGGATTGTACGGAGTAACAGAGTACGGAGTAAGGGAATGGGAATGGGAGTGGTATGTTATAGCATACAAAATTCATGTAAGATGCGTCCTTATTATTCTATACCTTTACGCAGATAGGCACCGAGTACGGAGTAAATAATAATAATAATAATAGGTAAGGGTTGTTTTCATTATTGATTTTGATCCTCATGTCCAATGACGCTTGGGGGGGAAGAAAAGGGTCTGCTTCCGCGCCTAGGTAGCAAGTAACTAAGTAACTAACGTTAGTTAGTCGTGTTCCCTTTTTTTTTTTTTTTTTTTTTTTTTTTCCTCCTCTCTTCAAGCGGCTCGGGGAATTTATTCCATCGGTCTTAGTCTTATTCATCCTTGAAGACATGAAGGGATTTTTTTGCTTATTATTATTAATAAGAAGAATTGTTGCGTGGAGAAGAAGGTTGGAAGGATTTGCTATGGAGAAACAAAAAAAAAAAGGGGGGTTGATTAAAATATTCCACATGGATTTGGATTTTGGATTTGCAAATGCTGAGCGATATCTGCACCGCTAGTAAAGACAAGATAGCCAAGTTACGCCAAAAATTGCCTGACTTCATTCAAAATATCATCCTTGGGGCATGCATGCAATGCATCCTGCAGTTGCCGTGCATTTGGCCCCGGCTTTGTTTCCCCGCGACCTTTTGCTGTTTCCTGCGTCTTCTCCCCGGCTCCCGGCTTCCAGTGGTGCTGTGCTTTTTCTTTTTTTTCTACGTATTTACATTTAACGGATGGTTTGAAATTTTCAGGCCTTGAAAAAACCTTCCTCCCTGGCATGTGGCATAAAACAGAGGAGCACGTATCGTATCCTAGGCTGGCCCTGCCCCGTGCGCGGTATTCCGCTACCCCTAGATCCCATGCTAGACACGGGAAGGACCCGGATTGGCACTCCGGGGTATCCTGGAAGTGTGTGCTATGCTTTGCAGTTTTTGACGGAATTCGATAGGTTGGTTGCTGAACAACCTCACTTCCAAGCAGGGGTTAAATGCGGACCACTTACCCCTGTACATTGTGGTTAATAATCATGAAATCCTCGACCGTCAATCCATCGCTACCGATGGCATTGGAAGAGAACATAAAAACTCACATGTTGCGAAATGATGACAGGCTGCAAGGCTCTGGTATCAGACTCATCTGAACTGATAAAAATTAAATTTGGAAATCCCCGCGAAGCGGGACACCCATAAGTCACAACGAAACTTGATATGAAAATGGACTCCCGGCAATTGCGGAATCTTCATGAGGATATAAGAGACGAGTAGCAAAATCGGATGTGATATGTATATTTTTTATTAGATCCATATTCCACAGAGGACATGGCATCCCTATATCATCCAGCAAGTCCCGCGGGAGCATTGATCCTCATCTCCCGAATACAGTTTCAGTTTAGCCTGTGCCCCGGGTGTAATCCGAAGGCGACATAAAGAGTCTAGCTCTGCGTTGGTTTGTTTCAAGATATCAGGAGAGCTGGCTTTTCGGAAAGATGGCGGCTGTGACAAGACTGAAGCAGTTTCTACTGTGCTTTTGGGGATTGTTCAACACACGCCCCAACCGGAGACAGTGCCGCGTAGAAGTGATTGACAGGGGTTAAAAGGGGTTGCTGTGAAAAGGGGAATTGTGTCCTCCACTGGATTGAAAGCTCTGGACTTGTTGGGCGTATGACGCGAGGCCACAGCAATGGGATCGGGGGCATGGGGCATTTTGGAATGCATAGGAAGAAAAACAGGAAAATCATTCGAAAAGAAGCAGCGGAAATTCGCAAGGGAAAGAGCGTCATGTCATCTGTGGAGCACGAGAATCACATCTAATAGTCCGCTGTTAGCCACCTCAAGCTGAATATTTTGCTTGAAGTCTCCAGATGTTCCACTCGGAACTGATTACACCTGTGTCTATCCCCAGTGGACACCGTGCTGGTCAATAATGACGCTTTCCTCAAAAGCAGCATATTATTGTTCTCTCATCGCCACATATGCGGATATGCTGCATCAGCCCCCGGGCCATCAGTGGGGGGTTTCCTCAAAAATGCAACCAATTCAAATCCCTTTCCTGTTGATATTCGGGCAGTTGTTGGATAAACGTCATGTCTCCAAAGGCTACCTGTGGCTGTGTTCTGCTTTCAGCATCATTGGCTCAGTGACATCAGTGGGCCAGTGGTGATAATCGCCCGTGGATCTCTGCTTCCCTGATCAGAGCGACCTCCACTGCAAAACCTGAGCTGGGCCCATCATCAATGGGTCATGGATGGGTAAATCTTTGTTGTCAGGTTCAGTCCTGCATCTCAGCCGACACCTTGAGCATATTATTATTAGCAATAATGCGCCTAGCAGTGCATTCACGCCGATCCTCGACCGACTGGTTTGGGTGGATTATCAGATTGTGGATTCGGTGATCTCATATCAGCCTTGGAAGTTGGAAGGCGGGTAGTTTGGAGCAACTCAAACCATGGCTCATCCACGATGTTTAGAACCATGGGTTGATCCCGTGGATCGCTGCGGATAAAAGCCCCGTTTCCACGGGAGGAACATTCGAGGAGGTCCGACTTTATTCCGATACTGGAGAGAGTATTATCAATTTATCCCGGTATTGAAGTTCCTCAGGGGTGAAAACAGCATTAAGCGACCGAACATTCCCAACTATTAATCCCCTTTCGTCTGCATTGGTTTTATTTTATACGCCAATGGAATTCAAGAGACCACAAGACACAAACTCAGAAAAGGAGGAAGTTCCCATGGCATTGTTTGGAATGGGAAAAGCTGGGCAGTGGTTCAAGAGTGTATAGCCAGCCAGTCACATAGGGAATAGGCTGGCAGCTGCGAGGGTTTAAGCGGCATGCCAGGCCATCAGACGCCTCCGTGGCAGACGACTCGACTGCTCTTGCAAGTTGCAACACCAGGCTCACTTCTTCGCGATATGAGGATATTTAAGGGCTCTGCCAGTTGTTAAGCTATTCCTCCGATGCTGGCTGAAGCAGACAGCGGTTTGGTTTGCCCCCCCTGGTTTGACGATAAAGCAATAAATCCTGAGAGTAGATGGTGGCGGTAAAGCGTTGGCGATGCCATTACGCGATGCACATATTGCCCTGCAAAACCACACCAGAAGAGCACAGAAGTCGTCCCTGGCCGGAGTAATTGCAAAGATTGGATGAGTTTGGGGAAGCTATTTTAGGATTGGGTGGCTAAGGTAAAGACCACGGAGGATTTCTTCCGCCAGGCACCCAGGGGAAGTTAGAATTTCGGGAGTTGAATTGCCAGGGTGCGTGCAAAGACAAGTACTATTCGTGCCACAGTGGGGAATTTAATGATCTCACTCCACAGCAGTGAGAGTGCCATTCGCTCGGCCTCCTCGGGTGTGTCTCTCCCATCGATACCAGCGGTGGTCATCTGTGATAGCAAACAGGCCCGGCTGCTAGGCAAGTCAGGATGGGACAGCTGTCAAAAGGGTAAAAATACTATGCGTACATGCTGAGGAACCGCCAGGAAATAACCTGATCGTATCGACGGAGGCAACGGCCGATTTGTTGATCCGGCAGTTGATTCTCCAATAGTCATTGGATGAGGTTTCAGCGGGGGAAATTTGAGTTGCGCCCAAAAGCCTCCAGTCCGTCCTGTCACCACCTGCGAGGCTACGACACAGCAAGTTTTAAACACACCGCGCCAGGGCCAATCGATCCGCATCGAAATGATAGCAGGCGGATAAGCGACATTTTCGAATTAGTGGCTTTCAATTTGCCGAAAACGTGGACATAGGGTGACAAGGGCTTGTCCCTCCCGTTTCTTTAAACTCTCTTTTAGGCAAGTATTTTCTTTTTCCAGTTCTCCCAATCATCAGCCTGGAGCTGGGTATTTGTATTTGTATTTGGACCTCTTTATTGGAGTGGAGAAGGACTTTCGCATAATTTGGCCTTTCACCCGACGTTCTTTTGCATATCATATCCATCATTTCACCGATTGGCCCAACTCGGAAGCTTCTGGATGCATGTTTTGTGCCAGTTAGCGCCAATCACTCGCTGGGGAATTTCAAGCCACATTTATATTCGACAGCCGAAGGAAGGTGTGATTCAAACTTAGCAAGTTACCCTGCGTAGTAGCTGGTTTGAGACGCCACTGCGCTGCGTAACTACGCAGTACAGTACGGAGTACAGTAGAATGGGCAAACTTCCGGATGGCAGCAGTCAACATGAATGAAATGAAAACGACCATCGGGTGGATCAAACCACTGTTTGCATAACGGAGTACGGAGTACAAATAGTAGTATTGTTTTCCCCTGTCGAATGGCCCAATGAAATGGCGCGCGCCAATAACATTCAGAATGCTTTGGCTGAATGTTTGCCACTTGAACAATAATAATAATGAACAGCCAGTTCTGCAAATCCACTGGAGCAATTATTGAACCAGAAATCCAATCCCAGAAAGAAGTGAAAAAAGCAATTGTTGGTTGATGGGATCCCATCAGAAACTTGATATAAATTTAGTAGGTCGGGGCATCTAACATGTGCCAACCTAATAATGCCTCTCTGATGGACACATGGGTATACATATATATATCCATGCTCAGAGAAACAGAAAGACATGTTGAAAATATGTTAAAGCATCCCACATGGCGATTGAAACGGTGTCTTCCTCTAATTCGATCGTGGTTATCAATTTTCAAGCACGCTACTTCGCATTATTCTCTCCTTTGAGAAGCGAACGGTGGGGATACGATAAGCCAACACAGCAGGGATTGCACACTAGATATTTTCGACGGTAGAAATTCCCTGATGCAATGATTATCGCCCAGATGCTATTCTGGTTTTCCCAGGTTCTTCCTGTTCCTCTCTTGTGGACAGGTCTGCTGCTTCTTTTGCTTGAACAAAAGGACCTTAAAATGTGGGCAAAATTATGTTGACATTCTTCACTCCACAACTTCCAGAAACGAGAGTTACGATAGAATCTGATTTTTACATTAGCTCCTCGCCTTTCGCCTATTGGATCTCAAGCCCCGGGGGCAACAGGGAACACCCAGGCAGCTTCAGGAACTAAGGGGCTAATGGCAGTTGGTCGATGCGATGCAAGCAATTTCGTACCTGAGCTTACTACGTAAGTTACTGTACTGCGTAGGGTTCCGAAAGGAGCATAGCCGCCTGGACCAATCGCTAACTTACATCTCACCAATCCCCAGCGCCAGTGTTGTTCCAACGCAGAACTACGCTTATTAGTTACCGCGAGAGGAGAGCACCACACAACACCCCCCCGACATCAGACCCTTAATATTAAACCTGGCACTTCACACACAACATAAATAATAATATCAACTACCGAACAACTCCAGTGAGATGCTTAGCGGGGTGGCTGAGGCTGAGTGGACTTGGCAGCCGCAGAAAAACCAACCCTGGGGATCTGCTGGCCCTCTGGAGTTTGGAGACGTTTTTGAGATGCCCTCGGATACAGTCTTGCGAAGCCGTGAATTCTTAAACTAATGGTACCATTGGTACGAAGACTGATCGAAGACTTTGCTTGAAAAGAGCTGCAGCCTCTATGACAACTGTTTATTATTATTCAATTGTTTTAAAGGCTCCAAGGTGGGACCGGATCCGACGCACGATGGATGCATGAATCTGCAACCCTGGGCGATTTAGACCCGCTGCACTTGAGTTAACGTAGGTTGGAACCAGAGCTGGGCCTGGGCGGGAGGAGATGACTACCAGCCGTCTGCCGACCGCGGTTTCTCATATACATGCATTGCGGCCCCGAAAAAGTGCTCTTTTCTTTCCCGTTTTCTTTCATTCCTTTCCCTAGGTGCTTATGTACTTGACAAAGAGGCAGTTATGTTTACTCGAAAATCTAGCCTCTTGCTGGCCCTGGTCAACGCTTTGCCATTGTTTGCATCTCCTGTCCCTGAAATCCGTGATGTTTCTGGTGCCGACTGGCAAGCTCTGAATGCTAGTGTCGAGGGCCGTCTCGGTGTCGCACGACCTGTTGCAAAACCTTGTTACCTGAGATACGAGGTAGATAGCCTCCGGCTCAAGCGGTCCCTTCATACCCCAGACCAAGCAGTTTGCAAAATCGCACAGGACAACCGGCGCAATGTCGAATTTATCTCCGCGCAGCCCGGAGGATATCACAACCCATACTATGGGACCTGCATGACTACTGGGCATGGGTGTCCGCTCACAAAATTGCTGGTGAATGACGGCACTTGCTATCAGGGCAACGTACCGGACTATTACATTGATGTGCGGAAAGTTTCGGATATCCAGGCAGGATTGAGGTTTGCGGAAGCACACGATATCCCCTTGGTGGTGAAGAATACGGGACACGATTTTAAGGGTCGCAGTGCAGGTGCTCACAGCTTGGCCCTCTGGTACGATAATAATCTTTCCACTCTCTGGTCGGACTCTTCCAGCATCTAACTCGTTGAATCAATTCGACTATGCTTTTCTACAGGACACACAACCTCCAGCCCCCAATTAAATTGCACAAAAGCTTCAGAGCCAGTAAATGTGAGGAATGCTCTGGCCCCGCTTTAACATATGGGGCCGGCCAGGGTTTCCAAGGTATCTATGACTTTGCTCACGCGAATGGATACATGGTACGTGATATGGTTTCTCTACATTTTCGAGCCGTTACCAGGTGGTTTTCCCTTTGCTAACTAGTTTCCTGAAGGCGTTAGGCGGAGCTTGCCCAACGGTGGGCGCGTCGGGAGGCTATCTTACTGGCGGCGGCCACAGTCTGCTTTCCCCTGCCTATGGTCTCGGTGTTGATAATGTCCTTCAGATTAAGGTTGTGCTACCCAATGGCACCTATGTCACTGCCAACCGGTGTCAAAATCAGGATATTTTCTTCGCGGTCCGTGGCGGCGGCGGTGCTACTTTCGGTGTGATAGTAGAGACAACCGCTCGTGTCTTCCCTGAAGTCCCCTTGCAAGTGAGTGATCTTTGTATACCAGTGACCCCCATCTCCGCCAGTGCAGCTGTGCTGACTTTGAAACCTTTTCTGTATAAAAGACGGCAGTTATCGCCTGGAAAGGTTCATTGGATAAGCAGACGACGAAAATCCTCGTGGATAATGGTGTGAAATGGGCAAAAGACGGATGGGGAGGATATGTGGCTAGCCTCGGAGACGGATCCAGCATCATGATGGCGATCACGCCCAAACTTACTCTCGATGAAGCAAAACTCTCGATGAAAGAACTGATTAACTTCGCCCTGCCTCGTAACGACGGTACCCTTCGCTTCGGAGTGGACGTAACGACAGTTGAAAACTACTGGGAATTCCTCCGAACTCCTGCGATGCAATACTTTGGTGTCCTCGTCAACGGTATCTCCATCGCGCAGGCCTCGCGTCTTGTTACCGACAAGAACTTCAAAAATAAAGGAAAGCGACGGGAGCTCACAGATGTCCTTTCGAAAATGAGATACGGTCTTAACATGGTTGCACCTTACGCGGCTGACTTGCCCGACTCGGACAAGCCTGGAGGTCCCGGAGAGGCATCCGTCACTCCTGCATGGGTCAGTATTTCATTCCTCTTGCTTTCTTTCTCTCTAAAAACCTCCACCCTCTTCCCTTTTCTTTCTTTGTGCCGATCGCTAACGTATGATAAAAACGCAGAGAAAGGCAATTTGGCACGTGGTGATGCAGAAAGCCTGGGATGTTGACGGCCAGAACGAGCATCCTCCCGAATTTTTCGTCGACCGTTTCAGAGAAGCGAGCGCGATGGTGCGGCCACTACGCAACATTACCCCAGATGGCGGCGCCTACCAAAATGAAGCCGATACCTACGAACCAAACCATATCGACAGCTTCTGGGGACGGGCGAACTACAACCGGCTCCTCCGGATCAAGAAGCAGGTGGACCCGAAGAACCTGCTGACGTGCCATCACTGCGTCGGAGCCGACCCCAGTGATAGCCGTCTGAGCTGCTACCCAGAGATATAATTTTTTGTCTTTCTTTTCTTTATCTTGCAGCCGGTGGATGTTTGCGAATTTCTAGTATTGATGATGAGTTGGCTCTGTGCAACATGCTCATTGAAATTTCTAACTGGGAAGTGTTGATAATAGATATTTGTGTCTTCTCTGTACAATGCGATATTAGGTTTTCTATTTATTTAATGGATTTCATTTATCATATTTTGTTATTTATTTCAGCCCCGGTCACCTACTTTTGTTTAGTTATTAGATAATTGTTGTTTTCCATCTTACATGTAGCTATTTCAGCTATTCCAATGACGAATATCCATCCCCACAGTTTCTCGTCCATTCTAGACTCCGCGGTTTGGTGATATTTTGTTCCCATTTGTGCAGTGGTCACCAACTGAGCGTCCGGATATCAGATAACTATGGTTCACACAAATTTAAGTGTGGACTAGATAGATGGATAGATTATTTCTTAGAAATGCTCTGTTACATGCGTTTCTCTCCACATAATGCATTTCTTTGCAACTCGGAACTGCAAAATGGCGGGTTGGTTGTCATCGCAGCCCGGTACGATCAAATCACCAGGCTGGGATCATCCATCCTCACACTCCTCCTTCCATGGGTTTGTCTCCACGCCAATCTCCGAGTTAATATAAGGAAGTTAGCTAACTAGTTAATGACAATAACATTAATAATCCCTTCCCTCCCTGACACACACACAGACACAACCAACAAAACCCGCATCCTCGAGTCGTGTGCTGTACGTAGAACGGGCCGGACCGCAACCAAGTTCAGTGTCATAGTTCCAAATAAGTTCACCCGGAGAAAGCCAATTCGCCACATCTTTCCTTTCCTTCTTCTCTTCTCTTCTTTTTGGTTTTGGTCAGACAAAGTTCCAATCGGATGGCGTGTGACTGGTGAAATCTAGGTATAGATAGAGAGTACTTTCCCATGAGCCATGTTGGGCGGACAAGAATGGAGGTTATTTAGGTAAGTTTTATTAACTTCATTGTTCAATTGCGGGCTGTCAATGGGAAACAACCGCGCTTTTCAACCGACATATTTCTGTTATCGTTGTCTGCGAGTGGTGCTGAGAATAGATACGGAATGAATGAGGAGGTTAGGTTGCTTTGTTCTTTGTATGTCATTATTATGGGCTATAGTATTCAGAAAGTTACAGTACATACATTGTGTAATGTCGTGGTGGATTTTGAAGGGATTGTTCTGGCTAATTCAATGTTGTTGAATATGCATGGAATATTCCTCTATCCTATCTCTATCTCTTTTCGTTTAAAAACAAAAGGAAAAAAAACCTTGAATAGACAGGAATGTATCTATGTAACTATCTATGTATGGCTCAAATGCTAAAGGTGATGGTCTGTTGAGGATTTTAGGACCATATTTCTATTAACTCCAGGTACGCCTTATTCTCTGACAATAGATACTCGCACAACCAGTGAGCTGCAGACTCCATAATCTCACCCAAATCAGAAATGCCCCAGAAATGTGATGTCCAGCCAACTAAGAAAAGGATAGGTAAGGCATAAACTTGTAAGCCCGGGGTTTGAAAAATGAGCCAATTCTGTTCAAGAGCTTCTTCGACGTACCGCGTCTCTATTATTTTCCTCCAGGCAACATATATCAAGGGATTCGAGCCAGGTATCGCTGAATGATGGGGTCGTACTCCACGAATGCCACTTGATACCTCTTTAAGGAGTTTTGTCTCCTTTTTTAAAGCCAACGATGCCGATTTCGTCAGTTAGTCTGAGACGTTTGAAACTTTGATCCATGATTGAGTACACAGCGCCGGTGGCGAAAACGTTAATGGAATAGCTTTCGATCCCGCTGCGATCCCCAAACTTTCTTATGCCGCCTCCATAAAACCCGTTATGAGTTCCTTTCTCAGATTTTGGGAGTCGGAGCTCACTATGAGGCGCAAGGCATTATTAATGAGCGTGCGTCCCAGGGATGTGGAACAGTTATGTCAGAAACAGAATCAATATTTACTTGGCATTGTGTTTAAAAGGTCATTTGGTCCAAACCTGTACATGATCTCCATTTCACAGTTGGAACTTCACTTTCGGCGGGGCACACTATGCTAGTCCGTGTCTTGTTTCGGGAAAGTATGATGCGATGTGGCCGAACAAAAGAGCAGAAAATGGCAATAGAGAAAGGCAATGGAAACAATGAAGGTGGTGATCCTGCTTTGGGTTTGAAGTCAAAGGACCGGATGAGTTCTAATAGAGGAAGGAGAGAGAGAAGAGAAGAAGCTGGCGCTACAACGGCGTTCTTAAATAGCATTCTTCCTTCATGGGACTGATGAGAGCCAGCGGCAGTAGAAAGGAATGTACCGTCCAATCCTTTTTATTTTTTATTTTTTTAATTTTTTTTAATAAAGGTAGTTGACGTGTAACTGCAAAGCGCCCTTCAAGACACACATCGGGCACTTGTCAAGTATCTCTGGTAACTGTATATGGCAACAAACCATTCCGGAGGAAATATAGTTCAACAGAGGGATAAAACAGGGGCTCGTAAACCGAGGTGATTGGAAATTGCTAGCCAAAATATATTTCGCGGCTGTTGGCTGTGACAGCGCTCCTGAAGCTGGAGTAAGCCTTCAATTTGACTGGGTTCTCCGGAGTATAGCTGTCCTGAACATCATGGAGAATGATAGTTCCAATGAACTGTATTTAAAGCTTTGTGCTCGACTGATTCCACAGTGGGGCACGTTGAGGGGCTCAGGAACCCCCTTACAGGCACTGTCAGCCTTACAGGATGGGGAAACCAGGAAGTTGGTTGAGCTTAATGCCAAGAAGTATAACCAAGGTGCTGTCGTCGCGTTTGGCCATTGATTCTTGGTGTCTGTAGACAGGAGGGAATCTTTCATTTTCATTGTCTAGCAACCGTTTAAATCAAGAACATCTCGGTCACTTTCACCAGCCAGGCGGAGGCAAGCGGTACCTCCAAACGCCCATTTTTCCTTGAAGCGTTTACTTTAGTAAGCTAAAACCGTAGGTTGAGGAAGTGGCTGGTCTCGTTGATGTGGATATGCAAGATATATCCCATTCTTGACAGGTAAAGCTCCAAACAAGCTGGCTCTGCAGCAGCTTGTGGCTTATCTGGCACTGCTGGTATCCGTGGCATATCCGCGGCATATTCTAGGTGTTGAAGCATAGAAAGTGCGGACGTCAGATTTGGTTGATGGTGATCAGCTGATATATCCAGGCGAACAGAATATGGACTCAGTGTGAAACGAATTGCGGCACCATGATGCACAGACTCCTCCTCGTCTCCCCTGAACGCTTGACATTGTAGCAGAAGTTGAAGTTGAAGTTTAGAAGTTGGAAGTTGGAAGTGGAAGTTGAGGTTGAAGTTGGCAGTCAGTTGGAGCCGCCCGGTGACATAATCAGCCGCTTGCCCCAAACAGCTCTAGCGCGCTTCCCTGTTGGCTTCCCCAACGTTCTCCGGTGAGCAAACTACTGCCGCATCCTTGCTGAGAAAACATCAACAACAACCACAATCCTCCTCCTCCTCTTCCGCCGCCTCCCCCCGTTCCTTGCGCATTGAGCTTCGTCTCACCTCACAATGTTTTCCAGAGTGATCCGTGCCCGGCAGGTTGCCCCTCTGGGCCGCAAGACCTTTGTCCCAGTAGTAAGGCGAACCGTCACCACCGATGCTGCTTCCGCGCATGCTGAAGCTGTCCCAGCTGTAAGTGCTCAATAATTTCCACTTGCACCCCGTCTCCCAATCTCTCAATCTGTAGTTACGCTGTCATCTAACTCTACATTGAATTGCACCAGGAAGAGGATAAACCGTTCACAGTCAAGCTCTCGGACGAGAGCTTCGAAACATATGAGCTCGACCCTCCCCCGTACACCCTCCAGACTACCAAGAGGGAGTTGAAACAGATGTACCATGATATGGTTTCCATAAGGTAATTTATCACTATGTTGCGCTATTGCGCGATCTGGCACTTTCATACATCCTCCCTTTGTCTAACATTTGACGCAGACGAATGGAGATGGCTTCGGATCGGCTCTACAAAGAAAAGAAAATTCGAGGATTCTGCCATTTATCGACGGGACAAGAAGCAGTTGCGGTCGGTATTGAACATGCTATTACCAAGGACGATAAATTAATCACTGCCTATCGATGCCACGGCTTTGCATTGCTGCGTGGTGGAACTGTAAAGTCGATTATTGGTGAGCTTCTTGGGCGTCGAGAGGGCATTGCATACGGGAAAGGTGGCTCTATGCATATGTTCGCCAAAAATTTCTATGGTGGCAACGGCATTGTAGGAGCTCAGGTTCCTGTTGGTGCTGGCCTGGCTTTTGCCCAACAGTACAATGGGGAAAAAAACACCACCATCACCCTATATGGCGATGGAGCATCCAACCAAGGCCAAGTATTTGAGGCCTTCAACATGGCTAAGCTATGGAATCTACCTTGCATTTTTGGCTGTGAAAGTGAGTGTCTCTCCTTTATGCAATACGCGTATATATATACTGGGAAAATTAAAAAATTAAAAAAAAACCACGCTAACCTACTGCACATATTCTAGACAACAAATACGGCATGGGTACCTCCGCTAACCGCTCCTCCGCCCTTACCGATTACTACAAGCGCGGACAGTACATCCCCGGCCTGAAAATCAACGGAATGGACGTCCTTGCCATCAAGGCTGCCGTCCAATATGGCCGTGAGTACACAACGTCAGGCAAGGGGCCTCTCGTCTTCGAATACGTCACCTACCGATACGGCGGACACTCCATGTCTGATCCAGGAACCACATACCGCACCCGTGAGGAGATCCAGCGGATGCGCAGCACCAACGATCCCATTGCAGGCCTCAAGCAGAAGCTGCTCGATTGGGGCGTCACGAGCGAGGAGGAGCTGAAGGCCATCGATAAGGATGCTAGGAAATATGTTGATGATGAGGTTGCTGAGGCGGAGTTGATGGCCGAGCCGGATGCTACGCCGCGCATTTTGTTTGAGGATACGTATGTTCGCGGCAGTGAACCGCAATGGACTCGCGGACGAACTATTGATGAGACTTTCTATTATTAAAACACTTCTACTACCCCACGATGCTATCAACCACAACTAAAACCTGCAACACATAACCCCTCCCCACCTTGTTATCTTAGTTTCCCTTTTTGCCGTTTCCCTCTCAATTTCTTTTGGTGGGTGTGCTCTCTCTGTAAGTAGACTTTTTAAAACGATAAAAACGCTAGCGAGTGATGGATGGATTGGTGGGCTATAACAAGCAAAACCAGCTTGGACAATTTTAACCTTTTCCCATATGTCTTTTTTATTACTTGAGCTTTCGTCAGTCCCCTGTTTTGTTATTACCTCTTTGTTTTTCTGGCTTTATTTTGTTTCCCCTCCCCCCCCCCCTTCACGTATCTTAATGCTCTGTATTCTAGCTCACCTACCTACCTACCTACCGTGCCCACCAAGAAACAAAAAAATGGATTTTTCTCCACCTTTGTCCTGTCCCTAAAAATTTCCGCTCCTTTTTGTTGCTTTTCTGTCTTACGTTTGCAAAAATCTGTACTTTCTATTCATATTCCTCCCCCCCCCCCCGGCCCCCTTCCCGTGAGTAGTGGAGTAATATGAAAATTGAGTGAGCTGTGCCCTGCGCCTCCTCCCTCCAATCTATCACCTACCTACCTATCTACCTATCTATCTATCCTATCTATAGCTGTTTCTTTGCAAACCACAGTTTCCCGAATCCGTGTGCTTTTTTTCTCAAGGTACGTAAAATGCACTGTATTATGGTATAACTCTTCATCCCAATGAATCATCTAAGAGGCAAGGAGTATTTCAAGACGTAGGAAGTTGTTGCTAGCGAGACGCGAGAATAGCGGAGGGGAGCACATTG